CTACCCAAGTGCTGCTACAGAACAAGCAGCTCCAAACTGGCTTCACACAGGAGCTACCATAAGCCTAACCAGGCCTTCACATGTGTTTATAGGGAGTGGCTGGTTGTCTGAGGCTGGTGAGGTGATCTGGGTGACTGGGATGTGCCTGTCATCCCCCAGCAGCCTGCTGGGGTGGTTCACCTGAGGTTGGTGTCCGGCCTCTGGGAGAGGCAGTGGAGGTGCTCGAGGCACCCGAGCCCCAGGACTTCTGCCATACCTGTTGGCTAGCAGGAGTCTTGGGACCAGTCCCGGTTCAAGGGAGAGGAGAGTCCCCCTCTGCTGGACAGAGCTGCAGAGTCCCAGGGCAAAAGGCAAACATGCAGGAGGGGACATGAGGGACGGTCTTGGTAATTAGTCTCCACAGCCCCATGATGTCTACACGGGAAGTGGCAGCTGTTACGCGTGACAGTTACTTTGTTTTGTAGTTGACTTGAAGACTATGGAGACTGCAGAGAAACTGGCCAAATTTGTTGCTCAGGTGGGACCAGAGATTGAACAATTCAGCATAGAAAACAGCACCGACAACCCTGACCTATGGTATGTACCCACCACACCCTTCTGGTTTGAGTGTATTCACCCCACAAATCTCCTGAGAGCCCAAAAGGTAGCCTGGCAAACGCCTCAGGGGTCACACGGGATAAATTATGACTTCTGCTGAGCTCAGGGCTGGAGGGAGGAGCATCTGTTCTGGGATATTGAGGGATGGGAAAAGCTCCCCAGAGGGACATTTAAGCTGGATTCGAAGGCCAAATAGGAGTTTTCCAGGGCAAGAGAGAGAGCTCCCTGGGCAGAGGAGCAGTGTCCCCAGGACCTGAGCAGAGTCAGAACAATGGTGGAATGAGGGAGGGTGCGTCCTCACCCAAGGGCCTGAGGAGGAGGAGGGCACTGCCCCCTGGTCATACTGGCTGCTGTGGGCTGATGAGAATTTGCTGCTCATGGAGTGATAGTGGTCCCTGGTCTAAGTGTGGGCAACAAGCACTTCCATGCAGCGACAGCCTGGCACCCTCGGGCTTGGAGGTGCACCATTATCCTCCCCTTTTCTCAGACTCAGCACACAGTCAGGGAGTAGCTCTGCCTCTGGGATACAGATTCTCTCCTTCAGGGTTCCTATTACTGAACCATAACCCTTTGGGCTCCCCTCAGAGCTAGTGGGGAGTGTATAGGGAGCAGGTAGGTTTCCTGCTGTGTACATTGTATCCTACAGTCTGCCGGGGCTCTGCCCTGCTCCAATGTGTTGCAGAGTTGTGCCTTAGTCTAATAAAGAATGCATTTTAAAACTTCACATTAACTAGTGCATTTCTTGGACCCAGAGGTGACTGAGCATGCTCTTCCAGCTTGTTTTGGACCTTGACTGGGCACTGCGCTGAGGGTACCTTCTGCTTCTTGGGAGATCCAGACCAGTTGCCTGGAGCACTGATGGCTTTGCAAATGCTCTGCCTGGATCTGCCTTTTACATCCATGATGACCTCAGGAACTGTCACCTGCAGGCTTCAGAGTGGGGCTGGCTGTGGCATGTAAGCTCTTGCCCTGGCAAGGCCAGTGAGGGGGACAGTGCAGTACAGGGAAGCTGGGAGTGTTTCATCAGCCCTTGTTTTGTTTTGTTAATTCTCGTGTGAGGATATTTTTTTCATCGTTTTTTAGAGAGAGTGGGAAGGAAGGAGGTGGGGAGAGAGAGAGGAACATCAATTAGAGAGAGACATCGATTGGTTGCCTTCCATATACACCCCAACCAGGGCCAGGGATTGAACCTGCAACCCAGGTATGTGCCCTTGACCAGGATTCGAACCCATGACCCTTCAGTGCACAGGCCAACACTCTAACCACTGAGTCGCAGCAGCCAGGGCTTTCATCAGTCCTTCCGCCCCATCCCCCATTAAAATTAAAGTTTGCAAGAAAACTGCATCATCCTGGGCACTTGGTACCAACTGGTCTTGGGGTTATTCCTCACCCTCTATGCAGCCTTTTTGAGCAATGTTTCTCAGAACATGCTGTCCTCTCCTTACCCACACAGAGTCCTGGATCCTACAGCAACATCTGGTGGGGTAATGCGTTCTGTCCCCCAATGCTCATAAAATAGTTTGAAACTTACTACACAGAGCAAGGCCAAAATGCCCTTGTGGGTTTTTTTCCTTGAAAGGTTTATATCTCTGATGTGCTCAGTAGTTTGCTCGAGTTGATTCATTTTGTATGTGTGGCTGTGTCATCAATTTGACAGATTCACTTGTTTCTGTGGATATTCAGTTTTAGAGCCTTCCTTTTCCTTTTTTAAATTTAAATTTTTTAAAATATATTCTATTGACTTAAGAGAGGATGGAAGAGGAAGAGAGATAGAAACATCAATGATGAGAGAGAATCATTGATCAGCTGCCTCTTGCATGCCTCCCACTGGGGATCAAGCCGACAACCTGGGCATGTGCCCTGACCAGGAATCAAACTGTGACCTCCTGATTCATAGGTCAACATTTAACCACTTAGCCACACCAGCCAGGCTAAATTATCTTTTTTTAATTCTTACTGGAGAATATGCTTTTTATTGATTTTTTTAAAGAGAGTGAGAGAGAAAAACATTGATTAATTGCCTCCTGTATGCATCCTGACCAGCATTTGAACCCACAACCTTTTAGTGTACAGGATGACATTCCAACAAACTGAACCATCAGCCATGGCAGTTGTTTGGTGTTTTTATGTAACTTTTAAAGTAAGTACAGCATTTGCAGTGTTGTAAAATTTATATATATAAAAGGCTAATAGCAATGTGTCCCCTCGGGAGTTTGACCAGGAGACCGGGAGTTTGATCACTCACTATGACATGCGCTGACCACCAGGGGGTGGTGAGGAACATGGAGGGTGGCCAGCGGTGGCAGTGGCAGGGCACTG